AGGGTGCAGCTTTTGGATACTGCTTGTATTTCCCATGATTTTAGGAGAACTTTCTTCTAAGGTGACTAACACAAAAGCCTTCATTTCTGGGGACGGTGTTTTGAATCTGTTAGTGTGGTGTCATATGCATCTCTTTCAGTCAACTTTTGTGTGTCAAGGGTGGTCCCAAACACCAAGGGGTGCTGGGTTGCTTGGGTCCTGGAAGACCAAACCCTTCTGTGCCCCCTCCCCGAACCCCCCGCATGATTTACAGTTCCATCTGACGCAGCAAGGGAGGGTATGTTCTTCTGGTGGGAGTCCCTATGAAACTGCTGCATGTCTCGAATAAAAATCTCAACACCTCTGCTAGACTCTCAGTCGTCTGAAAGTTTCTCCAAGTACTGGAAGGAGCAATGTCTCTTATCTTTGGAGTTCTATGACTCTCCTAGATCAGAGTGGTTTTGTTGCAGTCACCAAAGAATCTAGTCTCAGTTAATCATATTAAACATACTGGGCAGGACTAACACAAACCTAGTACAAGTGTCTGCTACTATGTTCTGGACCCTGAGTATGATCCACTCAGTGGGGGCAACCTTACAAGGCTCACACTTATCCTTGCCTGCACCAGACACCTTTTATTCACTCAAGGTGGGAGGATTGACATCCAGTAAGTAATCAGGCGGTGGATGCTCAAGTGGTCTGGACCAAGTAGAATGGACAGCTGCCTTGAGTTAGGCCTGCCTGGCTGCCACCAACAATTCCTTCAGGGTCTGCTAAGAAGGCAGCAGGCACGGATAGACAAACATCAACACATACTTATAAACCCAGACTGATTATTGGTAAACAAATCATGAGAACCTCTATGAGTAGAATTTCTTATTTCCCATCTATTCTTCCCTGACACCAACCTAAGACTTTTAGAGCAAAAGCCGGACCAACGCTTCCTTATGGAAGTTGAACCGTGGCTCTCAAATTAGTCAAAACCAAGAGAAAAGACGGGGAAAACTGTCATGTGCTTTCGCATGCAAGGAATTTACCAAACCGATAGACGCCTTCCAAACCAAACCCAGACCTGAACAATTTCTTCCCACAAATGTTGAACAAGTTCCAAGGGGGCCTGCATCATCATGGCAGGAAAATAGGGATCTTACAGCTAAGCCTCTAGACAAAACCTGTTTAGGTGGCCACTTTTGGGTGGGTGAGTGAAGACCCACCTCTCACTGGAAGGTTATGGTGCCTCAAGGAGATGGTCACAAGGACTTTGTCCCTTCGTGGTTACCAAAATTGTTACCGAGCAAGGGTTTTTTGCCCAGTGTGCACAGAAGCCAATACCATAGCACTGATTTTTGTGAGAAAAAAAGTTTTATTGTGAGGTCGACTGGCAAGGAGACAGGAGGCACTGCTCAAATCTGAACCAGGGGCTGAATGGGTTTTAGAGGATTGATAAGGATCAGAGACTGGGGATTGGCCGGCTCCTGTTCAGGCCATATGACTAGGCAAAGGGTGATTGGTTGGGATTGGGTCTGAGTCCAGCTTTTTGGTTCCATAGGTGGAGAATTTTCAGGTTCCTGTGGCACTCTGGACGGCAGGGCTCATGTCTTTGCATGTGCTCTGCAAGGCAACTTGTAAAACAGCATGAAATAGACAAGTAGAACTATTTTCAGCTAGTTTAACCAGTTTTCAACAAGTTTTATATGGTTTCAGTATCAGGTCAAATTTTGTTTTGATTATTTTAAAAAAGTCATCCTTATTAATTTTGATATTGGCTGACTACTTGGGTTTTTCAGTTTGTGAAAGTTCATTGAGCTGTATACTTGGAGTATGTGTGCTTTTTTGATATATAAGCATATTATACGTCAATAAAATTTTTTTCAAGTAGAGAAAAAGTTAACAAGTAGTTACCAATTTTTGCAAAATGTACACCTGTAGTTTTAGGAAGCAAATGATTTTTTTTTTCTGACAAGATTATCATGTTATTTTAATTTAATATGGTTGTACATAATAAGTTCTTAGAGAACATTCTTTTGATTCTCTTAGTTTACTAGTTTTTCAATATCCCTCTGTAGCATTACTCATCTTTAATCTGTATTTCCATGAAGGGGACTAGGAGTTGGAGATGGTGGAGGTTATAGGGCAAGAAAGGGCAAATTAATATTTTCAAGTCATTATTACTCTGAAAATTGAAAACACTATAATCTTGCCCTGTAAATTTTGACTTCTATGAAGATATTACAAAAGGAAACATATTTGATTTGTACACTGAAATCCAAACCATTGGAAGATTATTCTTCATGACTGGCTTCCCAATAGATTCATTTATAATGACTCATTCATTTTATTTGGACTTTACCTTTTCTCAGAAAATGAGGAGATTAAGTGAAAATAACTTTGCATTAAAAAAAGTAAGCACTGTAATATGTAATATTTAAATCTGGCTTTCTTTTTGTACAACTGTCATACATTTATTTTTGAATTTCACAGATAACTTGGGGCGGGGGGTGGAGGTACAAATTCTGCAACCATTTCTCAAATTTTGTGTTTTTGACATTTTTTTTTTTAAAGAAATGTATCTGTAGGTATTCAAAATAGTCTTTAAAATTAGATGGTATGTTAACTAAGTGGTGGTGAGGATTCTGAGCAAGTGGCACTTTCATACATTGCTAAGGAGAATGCAGAATTGTACAGCTGTTCTGGAACACAGTTTGGCCATTCTTAGAAAGTTAAACATATGTTTACCATATGACTCAGCAATCTCATTCTTCGATATTTATACTACAGAAATGAAACTTATATTCACCTATATCTATGTACAGATGTTCAAGGCAGCTTTATTAGTGATATCCAAAAGCTGGAAACAACCTCAATGTCCTTCAGCTGGCCAGTAGATAAACAAACTATGGTATAAACTATACAATATAATACTACTTAGTGGTGAAAAGGAACAAATTGTTGGTACATGTAACAACCTGGATGAATTTTAAAAGCATACTGAGTAAAATAAGCCAGTCTGGTCTCAAGAGGTTATATTCTGAATGATTCCATTTATTTGACACAAGGGAGAGCACAAAAGTCATTCTTTGAGTGATGAACTGTTGTATATCATGGTTATGATGTTGGTTACCTAAATCTGTATGTATGTTAAAATTTATAGAACTGTATACCAACAGGAAAAAAATGTTAATTTTATTGTATGATATTTAAAAAAAAAAAAAGATGGTGTGTTAGAACAGTTATTTTTATTACTGTTCTATAGTTTTTATACCTTTTATTTAACATATTTATCTAACAGAAAGAATTACTAAAATATACTGAGAAGTATGTTTAACTACTTGCAGAGTCGTATGTTTTATAGTTACCCTGAATAGTTGTTAAAGTCGTAGTTTATATACATCCTTCCTAAATTGGTAGAGAGAGAGATGGAGATAGGGAAGGAATAACTTCTGTCAAGTTAAGACTGTATAACTTTAATGTTTCTTTAGTGACTTTTCCCATTTTATTTTTCCTTTGATTGTTCTGTAAAGTATATGAAACTTGTGTTTTAAATGGGTTAAAAATTTGTTAAATTAGAGAAATGTTACTAATTTTACCATATGGCAACACCTAATGGCAGGATGGTAGACATAAAGATGTACAACAGTGATATTGTTCATGGTGTTTGTGTCTTTCATCTTGTTTGCTTGCTCTTCCCATTCCTTGTCTTTTTCCCTTCTTACATATTCTTTTTTTTTTTTTTTTTTCCTTTTTGTCTTTTTTTGTGTCCGGCAACGGATCGCAACCCTCAGTGTCGCGCCCGTACCGGACCGGGACCGGCAACGGGATCGCAACCCTCGGTGTTGCGCCCGCACCTCGCTCAGCCAGTGAGCGGGAACCAGTCTGTATGTGGGATCCAAACCCTGGGCGGGCGTAATAACTTCGTAGGAGCGCCGCCGCGCTCCCAAGCGGCGCACTGTAGCAGTGCGCCACCAGGCCGGCCCCTTACATATTCTTTTAACTGGTGTCAGTGAGCAGATATAATGTGTGTGTCTGTGTGTGTAGGTATGTGTGTAAGTTGTTTTTATGGAATAAAATTAGAAAATCAGATAAGAACAATGTTTTCATATTTCCTTAAGACTTTTGTGTATCATTTTTATTCAGTGGGAAATAAGGTGAAATAACTGTTGAACAAATATTTATTGAGCACCTCTTTTTTTTTTTCCTTTTTGTCTTTTTTCGTGACCGGCAACGGATCGCAACCCTCAGTGTTGCGCCCGTACCGGACCGGGACCGGCAACGGGATCGCAACCCTCGGTGTTGCGCCCACACCTTGCTCAGCCAGTGAGTGGCTGGTCTGTATGTGGGATCTGAACCCTCGGCGGGAGCGCCACCACGCTCCCAAGTGGCGCACTGTAGCAGTGCGCCACCGGGCCGGCCCTATTGAGCACCTCTTGACATACAAGGGACTTCAAAAAGCCCATGGAAAGATTCGTATTATCTTTTAATTTTATTTTTCCATGAACTTGTTGAAGTACCCTCATATAATGAATATAATAGTGAACTGACCAAAAATTCTCTGCCTTCGTTAAGCTTACATTGTAAATGGTATTACATTTCAAGGAATTGATTCCCATCCTGACTTGTTTTAGACATCTTAATTTTTCTTTAATTATAAAGCTGTTGAATACATTCAAACTTTTGCCAGATTGATAAAGAATAATAAAATTTTAAATTCTACATATATTCTTTACATTTGTATCAGAAAAGTAGTGGCTTTGGCATTCCATAATGAAAAGTGTGATAATCATCATAATAATCGCATAATGTTGGTGAGCCGAATTTATATGCCACTGTATTTACAATTTAAAGTTTAATAGTTTTTAACATGGTGAGTAGAGCAATGCTTACTTGGCTAGAAAGTGCTGTTATAAATTATGTATGTGCTTACAAACAAGAGGTGTCAAATGATATTTAAGAAAATCTTCGGTAAAAAAAGAAAAAGAAAATCTGTGGCTTATTATTATTAAAAGTTGGCTTTCTTCCCCTAGGAGAAATCTCAATTATTTTTCCAATGCTTATGCAGCTGCAGTTAGTGCTGTGGATCCTGATGCAGGAAATGGAGAACTTTGCATTAAGGTTCCATCAGAGCTGTGGAAACACGTTGATGGTAAAGCACCAAGAATTTATTAACTGTATACTAAAATCATTTTAGATCCAGAGACTAGAAAATTTTACATGAAAATCAGTGATGTGAAAATTATAAATTAACCAGTTGAAATATACAGAAGGTGTTGGAAGCTCTTTTTCTTCTTAAGGATCACTGGCTACAGGAAAGTATCAATCAAGAGTTGTGACAAAAAGCAAATCATTTCACTGTTGTTTTTTAAAATAAAATATTTTAAAAAATCATATGGATAGAACAATTTGTCAAGATTTCAGGACACTTACAATATCAAATCAGTTTAGAATTATATCATTTTATAGCAGGAAAGATCCTGAAAAATCGTCTGGTTTAGTTCTCTTCTTTCACAGAAGAGTAATCTGAAGTCCAATAGCATAAGTGACCTACTGAAGTTCAGTTAGGTAATTAGCAGTAGAATCAAAGCTAGAACATAAAGTTCTTGACACTCATTCTGCATACTTCTTTTAAAAAGAAAGTTGGCTTCTGGCCAGTAAAGGGATCTGAACCCTTGACCTTTATTGTCAATACCACCCTCTAACCAAGTAAACTAACTGGCCAGCCCTCCGGCATACATTTGAGCATACTTTTTGTAAATCTTTGTTTTCTCTGTGTAAAGTTGCAGCCATTATAACTATACATAAGCTTCTGCCTACGTTTATTTAACCTTATAAAAAATTAACAAAGATAAGGAAATAAAAGTTTTTTTGTTTTGTTTTTGCTTTCAATGTGTGGGGTGGAGTTTGGGAGGGAGTTACCCAATTTAGGGGGTAGGTATAGAAGTTCATCATTGCATGCTCAGTGTTTGGAGGTAGTTCAGATGGTCGTAGTGTTTGGGAGTAAATAAAAAGAAACAATCTTTATCTTATTATGAAAACAGCATATGTTTATTCCGCAGAAATCAAACATAACAAAAGACCTAATAATAAATAATGCAAATTGTTGGGTAGCTCTCCCCACCTTACCCTGTTTCCTTCTCCTACTCCTCAAAGTCAACTAGAGTTAATTTGTGGGGGAATGTAATAGGAGAAAAAATTTGAAAAGTAAGATTGGGGTTGGATCTGGAAGGCCTTAAGTGTCCAGTGTGAGAGTTTTGAACTTTTTTCTTAAGGTGATGTACATTGTAAGAAATGTTAAGAAGAGGATATGGCATGACCAAAGCTGTATTTTGGGAATAAACAGCAGTGATTAGAATTGAGTAGATAGAGCTAGGAACATCAATGGAGTCAGGCTATTGAGTTAATATAGGTGGAGAGATGATAAAAGCCTAAACTAGGGTAAAGAGTGTAGCTTTTCATATAAAACTCAAACTTTGATTTCGATTTATGTTTAGCCTTAGTCTTTCCTCTTATTATATAGACCACTGTTATTTATTTATGTGTCAATATATGTGTATTTATTTGTTGCAGAGTTAAAGGTCCTGAAGATACACATCAATTTTTCTTTGGATCAGCCAAAAGGAGGTCTTCATTTTGTGGTACCCAGTGTAGAGGGAAGTATGGCAGAGAGGGGTGCTCATGTTTTCTCTTGTGGGTATCAAAATTCCACAAGGTAGATTATAAATTCTTATATCTTTAAATTAATTCCACTTTTCAATTGCATTTTTCTATGTATATGCAATACAGGCATACCTCAGATATATTGCAGGTTCAGTTCCAGAACACTGCAGTAAAGTGAATATTGCAATTAAACTAGTCACATGAATTTTCTTGGTTTTCCACTGCATATAAAAGTTATGTTTATACTATACTATAGTCTATTAAGTGTGTCTATTAAGTCTATTATGTCTAAAAAACAATGTCCATATGTTAATTTAAAAAAATGCTTTTTTTATTTTTTATTTTTTTCTACTCCTGGTAAGTTGTGATAAAAAGTGCTTTGTTTCTAAAAAATTCTAACGATCATTTGAGCCTTCAGTGAGTTGTAATCTTTTTGCTGGTGGAGAGTCTTGCCTCTATGACAGTGGCTGCTGACTGATCAGGGAGGTGGTTGCTGAAGGTTGGGGTGGCTGTGGCAATTTCCTAAAATAAGACAATGAAGTTTGCTGCTTTGTTTGACTCTTCCTTTCATTAAAGATTTCTCTGTAGCATATGAAGCTGTTTGATAGCATTTTACTCATAGTAGAACTTCTTTCAAAACTGGAGTCAGTTCTCTCAAACCCTGCTACTGCTTTGTCAACCAAGTTTATGTAGTATTCTAAGTTCTTTGTTGTCATTTCAACAATGTTCATAGCAGCTTTACCAGGAGTAGGTTCCATCTCAAGAAACTATTTCTTTGCTTATTCAGAAGCAGCATTATGAGAAATGTGCTGTTAGGTTTTGCTGTTGTACAAACATCGTAGAGAGTACTTACAGAAACCTAGATAGTATAGCCTACTACACAATTATTTAACATGGACCCCTAACTGGCAACATTAGCTGTGGATTTTGCATGCTTAGGGAACATGATTTAAAACATGAGATTAAATCAAGGACAAGAGAAATGATGCAGTTGAAAGCATGGGATGTATGAGAATGGCATAACAGCATACTATTTACAGTAAACTTTTTTTTGAAGAGTATAAGGAGTACATTTTAAAATAACAATAAAAGGTATAGTATAGTACATACATAAACCAGTAACATAGTCATTTATTGTCATGATAAAGTGTTATGTACTGTACATACAGTATTTGTACTAGTGTGTGCTATATACTTTTATACAACTGGTGGTGCAGTAGGATTGTTTATACCAGCATCACCACAAACATGTGAGTAATACATTATGGTATGATGTTGCATGGCTAGGAAGTCAGTAGTTAATAGAACTTTTCTCAGCTTTAGTCAGTAGTTAATAGAACTTTTCTAATCTTACAGGGCCACCATTGTGTATGTTGTCCGTCATTTACCACCTAAACATTATTATGTAGTGTATGACTATTTCAGTAAACTATGCTGTAAGTAGACGTGCTGTCATCCAGGTTCTGTTGTTCCATTGAAAGAGCACAGGCAGAGTAGATTTAGCATTATTCTTAAGGGCCCTAAGATTTTTGGAATGGCAAATGAGCATTGGCTTCAACTTCAGGTCACCAGCTGCATTAGTCCCTAACAAGAGTTAGTCTGTCCTTTGAAGCTTTGAAGCCAGGTATTGACTTCTCCTCTCTAGCTATGAGAGTCCCAGATGGAATCTTCTTCCATTATAAAGCTGTTTATCTACATTGAAAAAAAAGTTGTTTTGTATAGCCAGCATCATCAATTAGCTTAGCTCTTCTGGAAACTTACTGCAGCTTCTGTATCAGCGCTTGCTGCTTCACCTTGTACTTTTATTTTATGGAGGTAGCCTATTAAACCTTGTGAGCTAACCTCTGCTAGTTTCAGACTTTTCTTCAGCAGCTTCATAACCTCTCTCAGCCTTTATAGAATTCAATGGAGTTAGGGTATTGCTCTGGATTAAGCTTTGGCATAAGGGAATATTATATCTGGTTTGATCTTCTATCTGGACCACTAAAACTTGCTCTATATCAGCATTAAGGCTATTTCTCTCTCTTATCATTTGTGTGTTCACTTGAGTAGCTATTTAAATTTGCTTCAAGTACTTTTCTTTTGCTTTTACAATTTGGCTAACTTTGGTGCAAGAGGCCTAGCTTTTGGCCTATCTCAGCTTTTGACATGTCTGCCTCTCAGTAAGCTTAATTATTTCTAGCTTTTGATTTAAAGTGAGAGACATGTGACTCTTCTTTTCACTTGAACACTTAGAGGCTATTGTAGAATTATTAATTGGCCTAAGTTCAATATTATGTCTCAGAGAATAGGGAGGCCTGAGGAGAGGGAGAGAGATGGGAATGGCTGGTCAGTGGAGCAGTCAGAACACACATTTATTAAGTTCGCTATTTTATATGGGTGCAGGTTGTGGTACCCCAAAACAATCATAATAGTAACATCAAAGACCACTGATCACGTATTACCCTAACAGATGTAATAAAAATGAAAAAGTTTGAAATATTGCGAGATTATGAAAATGTGACACAGAGACACAAAATGAGCATATGCTGTTGGAAAAATTGCACCCATAGATTTGCTTAATGTAGTGTTGCTACAAACCCTAAATTTGTAAAAAAATACAATATCTGCAAAGCACAGTAAAGCAAAGCGCAATAAAAAGAATTATGTCTGTACATATGTTTAGTATGAAATGAGATATATAAGCTTGATTCTCTACACGTTCTGCATCATGTTCTGTTTGTAATTCCTTCTCAGTCTTCTGTCTTCCCTTTTCCTTTCCCTTCTTTTCAAGTCTGCTTTTCTAAATTAATCATCTTACTTGATTCTTTCTTTTTTTTTAACTTTATATTGAAGGAAAACATACATATGGAAAACTGCACAAATTCTAAGTATAAAGTTTGTAAATTTTCACAAGTGAACAGACTCATGTATTTCACACTCATATCAAGACAAAGAACATTACCAGCATCAGAGATCTCCCTTTCATCCACTTTTATTCATTACTTCCCGATGTAACATTCTCCTGCGCAACTATTCTGATTTATAAAAAGCCATAGATTAATTAATTATGCCTGATTTTGAATTGTGTATAAATGGAATCATATGCATTTTACTCTTTATATCTGGGTTTTTTTTTTGTTCATCATAGAGATTTACCTACATTGTTGTGTATGATTGTAGTTCATTCATTGTCATAGCTGTCTAGTTCACTTCATGTTATTGAAATGTTATTTTATAATGTGTATCCTCTCCTCAGATTAACTCCTCTAAGCCAGTGTTAATGTCTTATACTCTTTATGTTTCAATATCAAGTACTGACCCTGGCAGGTAATAAGACCCAACCTGACTTGATAGAAAGTTGAATATAAATTTTTGGGCCGGCCCAGTGGCGCACTGCTACAGTGCGCCGCTTGGGAGTGTGGTGGCGCTCCCGCCGAGGGTTCAGATCCCACATACAGACCGGTTCCCGCTCACTGGCTGAGCGAGGTGCGGGCGCAGCGCCAAGGGTTGCGATTCCGTTGCCGGTCCCGGTCCGGTACGGGCGTGACACTGAGGGTTGCGATCCGTTGTTGGACACGAAAAAAGACAAAAAGAAAAAAAAAAAAAAAAAGAAAGTTGAATATAAATTTTATATCTGGCTTTACCAGCCTTCCATTTGAATATATACAATGCATCACATACTATAAAAAAGCAATCTCTTAACTTTTGGAATAGATTCTGAATATTAATTATATTTTATAAAACTTTATCATAAACTTTTTTGTTTCTGGAAATGAATGCAACATAAAAACCAACTAATGTTAATATGCAAATTAAAATAATTTTTAACTCTTTTTAGGGTTTGAACTGGAGGTAGCACATGATATATCTTGTTAATATTGCTAAATAATATTTGGAAACAGATTTTTAAAAATCAGATTCTTTCAAGTTACACAATAAAAAGCTTCAGTAGCCAAAAAGCTTCAGTAGCCAAAAAGCTAAGGTTTCTTTTTGTACATTTTCTAGAAATGTTAAAATAACATGGGGAAAACAAAATAGTGTACACTTTTAATGTATTTTCTATACTGTCAATCTTTTTTCTAGATTTTGGTTCCCATGTGTTGATTCATACTCTGAACTATGTACATGGAAATTAGAATTTACAGTAGATGCTGCAATGGTGGCTGTTTCCAATGGAGACTTGGTGGAGACAGTGTATACCCATGATATGAGGAAGAAGACCTTTCATTACATGCTTACCATTCCTACAGCAGCATCAAATATCTCCTTAGCCATTGGACCTTTTGAAATACTTGTAGATCCATATATGCATGAGGTAAGTCCTAGTTTCTCCCCCCTTACTCTCTTCGCACCCTTTCACTCCTGATAAAAAGAGGGTATTAATGAAATACTAAGTCTTTCTTAACTCTTCTTTCAACCATCAAGAATATCACTAGAGAGAAAATGTTTCCTTATCTGATATATTTAATGATGTGAATTCTTGAAAGAATACCTTTCAAAATGTTGTTGTATTAAAATTTCAGATTTTTTTCAACAGGCATCTTGGCATTCCAAGAGAACTTCAGTTATGCCTTCATTAACATATAGGCTGATTTCTGTAACTAATTCTTTTCATTACTAATGTGCTATTTTTGTTTAGCATATGTTTATGAATGTTGCAGCCCCAGTTCTGGAATCTGAAATATTGCACATTCAAAATTAAAGAGGAAGATTCATTCTCACTATAACATATACAGAGGAAAAGAGAAAAGATTGAGTTGGGGTTATTAGTCTGGTCAGCAAACTCATGAATACTTTTTCTGGTTTCTTCCCAGAACATATCTTACCACAAATCATATGTCAATTCAAAGGCCAGATAGTAAGTTTAGGCCTCCCCAAACATGAGATTTCTGTGGTTAGAAAATGATTCATTGGTTATTAACCCTCTTGGTTTCTGTGCTTGTTTAAAATAACATTTCAATTAATCTCTTTTAGTAAATAACTATTAGTCCTTTATGTTTTCAATTTAGGGTTTTTTGTTTTGATTTTTTTAAATATAAGCATACATTTTGATATCTCAATAGCATTTCTTTCAGTATGCAAATAAAAATCAAGGGCACATAGCTTTAGAAAAACTGCCAGTGAGCTCTTCGGTATGCCTTCTATATTTTTTTTTTCCTGAAATTCACAGGATTTGTAAAATCATTCGTGGAAAAGATTGAGGATATTTTGTTAATGGTTTTACTTCACCTGTCTTGACAATGACTCTTTTAAAGTTGTATCCACTGATAAGATTGGCAGTGAACCTTATTATCTTAAGTAAAAGATCAACTTCAAAACCAACATTTGTTAGTATATATTTTGTATTTTGGAAGAATTTTTTTCTGCTCTGAACTATTAGATGGGAGGAAGATAAATGACAGTTAAGAAGTATTTTTCTTGAATATTTAGAGTCCATGACTTAGTCTGTCTCTGTCTCAAATATATAGTAGTATTTACCTGTATTATCAGTAGATTTGCTACCATGTAGGTTTGTCTAAAAGTGTATACTTTCTTGATGAATAGTTTTTATTTTTTATTTGTGTACCAAGGGAGTTATAATGCAGTTTGGGTCCTGACCATTAATAACATATAGATGCCATGGCTACTGTTATGGTAGCCTTTAATCTATTCTTCTATAATGCTAATAGAAGAATAATTTTGATCATACGTTAAAATCTTGCCACCACAGGTCTGCAGTAATCAGAACTCTTTAACATGGCTTTCAATATCTTCTAGAATTTGACCCTAATGTTTGTTATATTCAAAATAATTTACTTATATTTCTCTGATACCTTATTTCTTCCTATCTTTAATTCTGTTTGGGATGTCCTCTTTTTCCATCCTTACCTATCAATCTTTTGTCCAACTCAAAAAGATTACCTGAGATTCAGTCTCCTGTATGAAACCTCACCAGGTCGTTCTAGTCAGAGTGATCTGTGTTGTTTTTGATGCCATTCATTTGACGCAGAATCATAACATGTATGATATTTGTGTGACCAAGGTATGATGTAACCTAATAAGAAAGCCAGAATTACTATTTCTATTGCTGGCATTTCTTATCTTCTGTCAGTAAGCTTCCCTGCAGCTTTCAATTATGTAGTCAAGATATTAGAGAAGAACTTAAGTAATTGTTCTTTATATGCAAACAGTATAATTAACATTAACTATTAATTACTAAGATAGTAGTGTAACATGTGCAGTATTCACTAGGTTGGATATTTATGAATAAAAAGTAGATTTGCAATAAACCTGGAAAATTTAGATCTTTCTTGTTATTAGGCATATCAAAAGAAACTTTTATTTGGAATCAAAGTTATATTTTTAATAGGTCTAAGAATTTCATAGACTTATAATTCATCATGAATTTAATTTTTAAGTACCATGAATATTTTGTGAATATGATCAGTAAAAGTAATCATTTTAAGTTCACATTTTCTTTCAACATCATGAAATTTATTTAAAAAAAGGATTTATAGGAGCATTTATTTATAATTGAGATATTTGGGAAATTTAAAATATTAAAGTTAGCTTTTTCAGTTAGATGATCTTCTTTTCTGCTTTTCATTTTCAGGTTACTCATTTTTGTTTACCCCAACTTCTTCCATTGCTTAAGCATACTACATCATACCTTCATGAAGTCTTTGAATTTTATGAAGAAATTCTTACATGTAGATATCCATATTCCTGTTTTAAGACTGTATTCATTGATGAGGCATATGTTGAAGTGGCTGCTTATGCTTCCATGAGCATTTTTAGGTTGGTATCTCTTCAAATTTGAAATGCCTAAAATTAGGGTAATAATATGAAGAATAATTATTGACTTTGTGATCAATTTTAATGTGACTTTTGAACTTTTGTCTTTTAATGTAGATGTGGTTGTCTTTGCAGAATATCTAGTGTTTTTAAAATTGAAAAATGTAGAAAAGCATGAAGACGAAAATTTTAAAATAACTCAAGACTATCTTCATCCAGAATTAACTGATATTAATATTTTTCATATTTCTTTTAGTGTCGTCTCTGTTTATAAATTTTTAAAAAATCATACAAATTATTGTATGGATGACTAGTATAGCTTTTTTTCTGGCACTATTTAAAAATTTATTGATATCTTCAGAATTTTTTTTTTTTTAAAAGAGAGTATTACTTTTTCTTTATTTACCCTTCTTACCTCTCTCCCTTCTTTCCTTTTTTCTTTGGAAAGTTCCAAAGTTAGAAGTTTTATGTCTCAAGATCAGTCATTCTACCTTCACTGAACCTAAATTTTCTCATCTGTAAAATATAAATTTCTCATCTGATCTGTATAGTAATACTGCCCCTACATTCTCCAGAGTGTTGTTAGAAGGATCCAGTGGGATTTGAAAGTAAATAATAGAGAACCAAAAGTTAATAGTTATTATTAGAAAAAGATTTTTGAAATTAGAAGACCCCTTCATGTGAGGACCAGTTTCTAATTAACATACCAGTTTCTGGGGCCGGCCCGGTGGCGCACTGGATAGTGCGCCGCTTGGGAAGCGCGGCGGCGCTCCCGTCCGAGGGTTCGGATCCCACATACAGACCGGCTCCCGCTCACTGGCTGAGCGAGGCGCGGGAGCAACGCCGAGGCTTGCAATCCCGTTGCCGGTCCCCGGTCCGGTACGGGGGCAACACTGAGGGTTGCGATCCGTTGCCGGACACGGAAAAAAGACAAAAAAAAAAAAAAAAACATACCAGTTTCTAATTAATGATGCTTCTCCCTTCACTCTCCAAAAAAGTTATTTATATTTTTTATGGAAATCAGTGGGGAAAACATTGTGCTTCTTGCTTTAAGCAAAAGTTACTGTAATTATGAATTTCAGCTAAACTTTGAAAAGATTAGAAAGCTCTGAGAGAATATTTTGGCTTTTCTCTTTTATATTTAACTTAAATTCCATTATTTTAAAAGTGTGATCATTTTATTTTGACTGAATAATTGTTTATTTCTTGGTTATAATTAGCTTTCTCACCTTTTACATTTCAGCACAAATCTTTTACACAGTGCCATGATTATAGATGAGACACCTTTGACTAGAAGGTGTTTAGCCCAGTCCTTGGCCCAGCAGTTTTTTGGATGTTTCATATCCAGAATGTCTTGGTGAGTAATTTCAAAGTTTACAAGTAAAAAGAATTAGGAAAGTTTATTTTTATTGTCTTTCCCTGCAGAGTAAGCTGACCTTTGCCCTAATTACAGGTAGACAATTTAATTTATATATGTTTAAAGAGAAATAATGAGTATAGCTTTTATCTTTTTGGCCAAGAATTACTTCTGCAATTTACAATAAGAATAAGGTACAAATGTTGATAAAACAATGTCTTTTAAAGAACTGAATGAATACTATGGATATAAGAACTTGAATGTATAGAAAACTATAGTTAGAATTCTAATGTCAATGTTCGAAGCAACTGGTAATGTTTAAGGCAAAATAATGCTCTTCTACATTAGTGATAATGATACAGGGATTTGCCTGCTAGTGGTTAGCTTTGTCTCAATTTACTTGAAAGAAACAAGAGGTCAGAACACTTTATTTTCTTTTTGATTAACTTGAGATGAATTTGAAAAATACACAAAACTCCCTTAAGATTATAATTTATAATTGCGGACATTCTATACTATATATAGTATGTAAATTTTAGTTTTTCTTGCTTGCTTGCTAGAGGGGAAAAGGGCAGAGGGTAAGCCCTCTTGATTTGTGATTTTCCTAAAATTACACATAGTTTCATTAAAGAATAGTACCTGAAATATGGTAGGGAAAATGTTTGGATGGTGGAATGGATGAATATATGAACGAATAAATGAGCAAATAGTGTCGATTATCTTTCCTCTGGAGAAACCAAGAAATAAATTAATTAGGTAATTAAATTTTAGGTTTTAGAATGCCATTGGTAGGATTGGCAATAATAGAATGTGGACTTTTAGAATTGAGCAGTACAGTCCTGGCTATGGGTAGATATTTCCTTAGAGACAGACAGTGTGGACAGAGTTGGGCAGGAGAGAAGCAGCACTGTGAGAGCATATATGTAGGTAAATTATCCTTAAATAAGAAGAGAAAGCCAGATATGAAGAAGGCGTAATGAATGCGCAAGTAGAACTCAGCCGAAGGAACTTGGGAAACCTAATAACTTGTTAATAACTTTCACTTTCTGTAACTAGGCAGGGAAGTTTGTGCTACACTTCTATTATTCTCTTTTACTTCATCTGAAGAGTTTTTGTGATTAAAAGTTTATATTTTGACTTTTTGCTTAGGTCTGATGAATGGGTGCTGAAAGGAATTTCAGGCTATATTTATGGACTTTGGATGAAAAAAACTTTTGGTGTTAATGAGTACCGCCATTGGATTAAAGAGGTAATAACAGATCCATTTTCCACTTATAAGTCAATAAGACATATAGTGTTCTCCTGATTTCCAAGTCTTGTCCTTTATTTTTAGTGATTATAAAATACTTTTAAAATACCACCATTTGACTGTCTCTAATTTTTTCCAGCAAAATTGGAATTGCTTCACCGAGAAAAACTAATGGTCTATTTTACCTAGTTTTCATTGTCAGTGAATGTTGGCTCCTACAGACTTTTTTTTTTCCTAGAGAAGAAAATATTTAAACCCCTTAAATATCAAGTTTGTGATAGGTATATCCCAGCTTCTCATAGTAGTCATTTATTATTGTGCTTCCTAAATTTGTTTAGCTTTGTGAGTTTGGTTAATCTTTCCAGGTCTTATCTGTGTAGGGAGAGCAATAGTAGCGTCTACCCCATGGGCAGGGTTTGTGAGACATTATATATGTGATGTGCATGGAGCTTTGCACACAGCAGCTGCTTACTATATGCTGGCTAGTCCTCGAATGTGTTTATATTCTCTCTCATTGTGACATCTTTTTCCTATTATTTAAAGATTTAGCCAAAAAGAAAAAATTAACTATATTTTGCTCAGCCCGTTCTAGTCATATATATACACAATTTTAATTACATCATGCTTAGTTTCTTCTCAGGTGAAAAAATCACAGCCTTTAATAACCTCATTAAATAGACCCCTTCATCTTCTCTGTTTTCTCATTTTATATATTTTTATCATCCAAGGGTAAACTCAAGTAAGCCAAAAAGTTAATTGTTAAAGATTTCAAGCATCTAGAACGATTAAAGGATTCATACATCCAGAACTGGAAGAATCATTCTTCATTTCAGAAACTATTAAAGAAAAATAATATAACATGGTACTTATTTGTCAGGAATCATTATAAACATCTTATAAATATTAACTATCTTTTTTTTTTTTTTTTTTGCATTTTTGTGACTGGTAAGGGGATCGCAACCCTTGTCTTGGTGTCGCTCGCACTGCGCTCAGCCAGTGAGCACACCGGCCAGCCCTATATAGGATCTGAACCCACGCGGGAGTGCCGTTGCACTCCCAGCGCCGCACTCTCCCGAGTGAGCCACGGGTCGGCCCTAAATATTAACCATCTTAATTCTCCTAACTACTCTGTTATTATCCCCATTTTACAGATGAGAAAACTGAGGCACAGAGAGGTTAAGTTATTTGGTCAAAGTATATAGCTAGTAAGTTAGCAGAGCTAGGATTCAAACCTGGTTTTTAACTACTTCACTCTGCTTTTTATCACTTTTCTATACTGCATCTATATTATTTGAACTAGTCATGAGTTTTCAGCACAGTTGTATTGTTGTCTTTTTTTCAGTTAACCTTTTTTCTTTTTACTTTGATTTATGTCATATTAGAAAAGACTTGAGAAGTTTTAAAATGATGGATTCCTGACATAATTTATCTTTTTACTTGACTAAATCCCCAGAGGCAAAATCCAGAGAAGGAAGAAATATATTTGGAAGACAGGCCAGAGAGATTGAGAAGAGCCATAAAGAAAAGTTGCCAGGCTGCTGGCCAGCCTCGAAGTCACAAAGTTGAGAAGGCTTTTTGCCTCTTATCACTTCAGCCAGCTGTGTAGTCTGCTTTATTTATAAGAACATAAACTATGCTCTAAATGCATTTCACTTATTTTAAGAAATTTACATTCTGATTCCAGGAAATAAGAATTCACAATTCTAAAATTTGAGATATAAAAAAAATTTCCACTGACTCCTATTTTAATATTGTTTTTAGGAGCTAGACAAAATAGTGGCATATGAACTGAAAACTGGTGGAGTTTTACTACATCCCATATTTGGTGGAGGAAAAGAGAAGGATAAGTATGTTTGTTGTTCATGGATGATTTTATAAATGTTTTATGGAATCACTTGTGTGTGTGTTGAGGCCCACACAGGGCCAAAGGAGTAATAATAGTATGCAAAAATATTGATAACACAAAACTGATAATAGTCTCATTAATCCTTTATTGTTTTACTGTTTTTAATACATGTGATGGCTATCAATGGATTTAAACTTAAAAAGAAGAATAAGGATTTTTGCTTTTCCAGGTCGATTTCTTAATGCCACTGTATCATATTGTTCTCATTAAAGTTTTAAAATAATGGAAACAAGTATTTTGCTTATGTACCACTGATTTTTTTTTTTCTTTTTTTTAAGTCTGAGTAGATAATTTCAGCATCAAGACATCCTACCTTATCTATTTACCTGAAATGGCCACCTCTTTAGACATTTATTTACTTTTTTTTCTTCTTTACTTTCCCTCCCTTTGATCTTCCCTCACTCCTTTCTCTTTTTCTTTCTCTCATCTCTTTTTTAGTATGTTGCTGTAAAGGAGACAGCTACTTATAAGAATATCAGGGTGCTGGCAGGGATTCTTATTTATTCTAGCATTTATGGATTACCTAATGGACTATAGATTGAATTGCATGGGAAAATTTTTCTCTATTTTCACTAACGATAAACTGCAATTTTACATTTCCTTCAGTTAAGAATGTGGGCAATAAACTAGAGTGGTATTAGCGTATCTGTGATTTTTGTCAGCTATAGAAATCATTGGATATTTTCTTGTCACATTAAAACTGTTAGCACATATCTTGAAATATCCTTTGTATTCATCACTACCTCAAAATTACTGCAGTAGACTGTTGCTAGATCTTGTTATTTAATGTATTAATAAACTATCCCATACATTGGTATATCATAATTTTTTTTATATTTTGATAACTGTATTTCAGTGTATTTGGTTTCCTTTGTAATCCTGTGTATTTTAGTCACTTACTAATTTCTGACATGGACCCATAGAATTAGCCAGACTGCCAGAAGTGTCCAGAAGCACAACAAAGGTTCAGGAACTCAAACTTACATAAGCAATAGCCTTTTCTTTGTTGCAGCATGGTCACTAGGAAAAGATTAAGTCAATGGGCAAGCAAAGAAATTTGGAGTTAGACAAACTTGGATTTTTATTACCACTTTTTGTGATCTAAGAAAATTGTATAACTTTTCCAGATGTATATTTGTGTCTGTGTATGTATTTTGTGTGTAAAGTGGTAGTGATGATCCATTTTAACCAGGTTGGTTATAAGGATTACTTGAAATAAAGCTTTATACATAGTAAGCACTCACTCAATAAATGTTAGTTCCTTTTACTTTCTTCTCCTGACTGCTTTCTGTATGGCAGTTTCCCAGCATATAATTACAGCATATGTGTAAATATTTATACTAAATGGTTTTACCTTGGTTCTGCCCATTACTTAGTTTTTGTTGTTTAATTTTTAAAGTGTACATATAAAAGCAGCACATGAATACATGCTCTTTGAAGAAATTCAAAATAATTTAGAAGCGTGTGGAGTAAAAAGATCCCTTTCAGCTTTTTTTTTTTTTTTTTTAACCACCCCTTACCCCTACCAGTTCCTCTCCTCAGAGATAACCATGATTATAAGTTTGGTATATTGTCTTCTAGATCTTCTTGTTGCTTTTGTGTACATGGTATTTAAAAAATGTAATTCAATTATATGCATATTACTTTGTACTTTAAAAGAAAATTAACCATATTGATTTATTTTAGCAAGCATTCTATGTGACTATATACATAAATTTAGTTCATTCCATTTAAGAACTACATAGTATTCCATTGTACCTTGGAATTTACTTAACTTTCTCCATATTGCCGTTCATTGCTAAAGCTTTTAAGCTCATAAAACTCATAAGGAAGGTTAGAAGTAATAAGTGAATATAAAAATAATTTTCAAATATTAGATTGATAAAATGTTTTAAATTTCAATATGCCACATTTTTTTTTTTTTTTCGTGACCGGCAACGGATCGCAACCCTCAGTGTCGCGCCCGTACCGGACCGGGACCGGCAACGGGATCGCAACCCTCGGTGTTGTGCCCGCACCTCGCTCAGCCAGTGAGCGGCTGGTCTGTATGTGGGATCCGAACCCTCGGCGGGAGCGCCACTGCGCTCCCAAGCGGCGCACTGTAGCAGTGCGCCACCGGGCCAGCCCTCAATATGCCACATTTTTTTTTTTTTTTTTTT